TTTCTAGCTATGAAGCAAAAGTATATATAGCACCAGTTAGGTAGAAATTAAAATCAATTTTTTAATAAATTTTGATAAAAGTTGATAAAATGTGTGATTGTAAAGCTGTTGGTCATATGAAATATGTGGTTAAAATTAATTATTGATTTTAGATTAGATTAAAATCTTAATCTTAATTCCTATCGAACAGGGGCATACACATGAAATGGGACCAACATATCACGAGGTTGACAATAGAAAAGCAAGCCAATATTCATCTCTGTCTTTATGTAAGACCACTTCGATATTATCAAAATGAACAATGTTTAAGACAATCCATTTCAAATACATGCTAATAGAAGCTCTTTCAAGTTGACGAGATAAATGAAAAAAATAGAAATGATCTATAATTCCGTCTAGATTCACAAGTCTTTTTAGTTATGACGACTCAACGAAGTTTTTATTTAAATTTATATTTTCTATGCATATTCGAACGTGATTTCAAACATCTAAACATTATTGTTGGGTTGTAGATAAACACATTAGATATAAATATTTGTATCTATTCATTAGATATCAATAATATTCCGACTAGGATGTCACTCTATATAAAAATTCACAAAATGCATTGGAGATGTCGTAATGGTGGCCTAATTCTTCGACTTCATTCCAATAACCAAACAATGTGAAAAGGAAGGCGGTGGTTGGCTACATAGAAAAGAGTTAAACAGGGTTTTTATCCAGTGCAACAGGGTTCAAGCCATTCGTCTTACTTGTCGACAATTGTTGCGTGATTGGGTCCCTTATTTTTGGAGCGGTGCCCAATGTGAATTAATGGGAATCGAAAATGGCGCTGTGGTCCCGTCCTGTATCTGACCTTGACATTTGATCTGCACCGTTATTTGGCAGCTTCTATTTGGATCCAATGCCCCAAAAATGCTAAATATAATATTGGTTTCAATTTAAATTTAACATCTAATAGTTAGGTTTTTTTTTTTTAAATAAAATTATGTAATACAAACAAAAGCAATATCTTATTTTGATTAATTTCGAATAATTTTTTATCTTTTGGACAACATACATAGTAGGCATTGTTTGGTTTGAATAAAAATTAGAATTTTTTTACTAGATTTTGATAAAAATTAGTGAAATGCACGCTGAAAATTTGTAGATTCCATAAAATGTGATTAAAAATGAATTCTAAGACATTTGAACCAAACATGAGCATATATTTTTCCATCTTCCGTTGTCAATGTTGACATTGACGTGGAAAATATTTCTTGGTAGTGTTTAAAACGTGCAAGCCAAATATACTCATGGTGGATATGCTAAACTAAATTGTTGATGGATCGTTGGCTGTGTGATTGATGAACAATTACATTGACTTGTAGATCATATGAGAGTTTGTGTAGAGTAATGCTATTCATTCCCACTGGGTTGAACCTCAATCTATGTGGCAATTATGTGACAATTATATGACATTAAATAATAAATTCATTTAAATATAAAGTCACATGACTCATTTAATTGAGTCTATCATTTAATACCATGTAATTGCCACATAGATTGAGGCTCAACCCTAGTGGGGATGAATAGCATTATTCGTTCGTGTAAGCCCCTGTTTGGTTTACATTATTTCAAAATGCATTATTTGAAAACTCATTTTCAACCACACATTCTTTAATAAAATAATATTTTTCATCACATCAGTAACTTTTCCTTACTTTTTAACTACATATTTCTCATCACACCACTATTTAAAATACATTCTTTTTTCAATAATATCTATCAAATACACTATAAAAAATTGATTTAAAATGAATTATTATTAAGAAACAAGTGCAAGGCAAAAAGTGCTTTTCACACACCATAAATGGAACAATTTATGAGACGTACCTCTATCGAATCATAAGGATTTATCTATTTGTACAACATTTTTTTTGGGCGAAATCCAAAGACAGAATGTCATGTCTGGCATTCCGTCAAAGTGTATGTACACATTTTTGTACATATAGCAAGGCTCGAATCATAATATCCCATAGTTAAATAGGCTATCAATGGGATATTATGCTTCGATAGAGGTATGGGTTTTGCATAATATTACAAGTGGCAATATGTCTACGTGGGATACTATGTTACATAAAACTTGTGACGGCACTTTATTCTATTGAAGTATGATTTCCTATAATATCATATGACCTCTTTCAAGATTAGCATTCAACTACTTCGTCATACACTAGTTAGGACATTATTGAAGTTTAGAAACACTGGCCCTCCCAAATTATGTCCAACGGCTTCGAAAATTTTGTTGTTAATGCTCGTTCTTGAAAACGAATCACTGTCCAATAACTATGTCTAAGATGATTGAGACTCACTCTTTGATAAAAAATAACTCTTGTGATTTTTGAAACTGCAGTAAGGATCGTACTATATTTATATTTTAATCAAGAGCACTGAAAATATACATTTTTTTCAAGAGCAATGCTTGATGTACACACTTGGGTGTACATCATGCATTACACTCCTCTCACAATGATGGGGGGCCAGCAATTTAAAAAATGACAGGCCCCACACACCATTGTGAGAGGAGTGTAACTCTTAATGTACTTCTTTTTTCAATAGGGGAGCCGAGGAGCATACCATCTAAAAGTTACACTAGTAATAGTATTTGAATGTATTTGTAACTATAGTTTATTTGAGTTTTATTTTTATGTACTTTTTCAACATTTTTTTAATTTTGTTGCAATGTCAGTTCGTTCCATTGTCATCTCCTTGTGAAATATAAATTTGAAAACATGGAGAAAGTTCTTGAGCGTTACAATTTTTTTTTTTTTTGACGTAAGAATCCACAGTCGCTATCCGCCACGGAGCCTGACCACCTCGAAGGGGCGGAGGCCCGATCATCGTGAGTGCGCACTAGGTAAACCCTACTCCATGTACAATAGTCCGCAAATCACACAGGAGGGGTAAACTGCACTGGCAAGCCCGATGGAACGGGCTCAACCGAGAACGTGTTGGCAAGGAATTCAAACTTGTGACCTTTGACCTCCGCGTTTACCCACTCCACCACCCCGGCCACCTTCGAAGGGGTGCGTAACATATTTTACATTTACAATGTGTTGTGTACAAGATCTAGACACCCCAAAATTTTCCTTCCTCACAATTTAGTCCTTCCAAATTTCGACAGTATTTGTAATACCTTAAAAAACAAAACAATATTAAACTCTCTGTTGACCAAATTATGAGTAATTAGTTCAACTTAGTGGACATAATTGTCGGCTTAGACTGGCTTTTAAAAAAGAGTCTAGTCAATCTCAACCTTAATCAAAAGCTCGTTGACTTGAATTATATCACTACAAAAGATTGGCTGGCTATTCACCAGGGGACAGCAATATATGCCCATTTACAACCTCGGCTTTAAGGAATATAGCCAATATCATCTTTCGATCTTTTACGGTGAAATTTCAAGTTTTAATTTGATGATATTAGAGCCCATTTAGATCAAATAAGTAATTTGATTCGATTAAACAGTGCTATTTGGTAAGACATTTAGGTTTTTTGGATAATCTTTGAAAGTATTTCTGATGATTAGAAGAGTTTTTTTTAAAGAAAACTACTTTCTCTAAAATCGATTTTACAAAAAAAATCAAAAATAGAATTAGAAGTCCTTCTAAACAGATCTTTTGACGGAATTCGATTATTTCAAAGAAAGAACATTTTAAAATCCATATTAATATGAATCTAACCCTTTTGTGAAGCAGTGTTGTTGAGAGGTTTAGGAGTGAGGTTCCATGAATCATGAGGGAGGGCCAGCCATACTCCATTAATTATTTAGTTCCTATTTGACAGGGACTAAAATGAGATTTTTAATAAATTTTAGTAAAAGCATAAACTAAAAATTGTGGTTAAAATTAATTATTGACTTTGATTTATATTAAAATTTAAATATAAATTTTTAGCAAAGGCACGGAATAATATAATTAAGAAAAGAAGGTCGTGTTTAATATTTTAAATAAAAAAAAGGACGGGAGTGTCAATTATTATTATAGTAATAATGATTGAACAGAATTAAAAGATGGAAAAATACAAACTGACCTAGCAGTTCCTATTTGGGTTTTTTTTTGTCAAACTATCTAATCACGTGTCGACACACGTCTTTCATATTTTTGAGCTTATTTGTGTAGCATAATTGTTATTATTATTATAGAGAAAACTTTTTCAGTGTCCACAAACACTATCCCATCCAATCACATTTCACCACCTTCTTCGGCCAACCTCTCTCTGTTCTGTAGACCTCTCTCCCTCTCTCTAAAGTCAGATTTAGCTTGCTTTTCTTTGTAGTTTCGATACTTCAGGGAAAAGGAGGAAACAGTAGACGCCCTTTATAACTTTTTTTCTCGTCGCAAGAATCACAGTCTCCTATCAGAATTCAGAGTTTTCTCCTCACTCGAGTTTCCATCTTTCAGCTTTATTATCTGTCTCCGTTTATTGCACCTTTTTGCTTTTTCCTGGGCGGGATATCAAAATATTCAAGCTGGGGAGGATAAATATCTGTTAACTCCTCTTTCTGATTGAGGATCTTGTATCATTTTATTGGAGTTGTTTTTGGGTTTTAGACTTTTAGTTGTTGTCTTAGTTTGCCATTTGGTTTTGTGGGTTCAGATCTTAATGATGGTTTTGCTGGATTCGTATTGACTGAAATAGTTTTTACGTTTTATTAAATATTGCCTTATCAAAATTCGTGGGATTTTCTTTGATTTTGAAAAAGGTGTGATCTTTTTAAGATTCCTCAAGCGAGAGGTGGCTGTAGAGGAAAAGCTATTCTGATTCCTCCACAAAAATGCCTAATGATTTAACATTGATATAGCCATTGTGAAGCTCCCACCTCTCTACATTTCCTTTCCCACCTCTCTCCTTACACTGCACTTTTCTCCTCTGTTTCATCATAATCAAAACTTGTTCAAAATCTTCTGATATTTCAGCATATATTCTTGTTTCTGGAATTCCATAAGGTGGGGGGCATGGAGATTTTAACACCAAGTTCTTACTTTTCTAATTCAACTTGGTTGCTTGAGGAGAGCAGGAGTACAAAATGGACTCCAGCTGAAAACAAGGCCTTCGAGAATGCTCTTGCTCTATACGATAAGGATACGCCCGATAGATGGCAAAAAGTCGCCAAAATGGTTCCAGGGAAAACTGTGGGGGATGTGATGAGGCAATATAAGGTATTGGAAGATGATGTTAGTAATATAGAGGCAGGGCTAATTCCAATTCCTGGATATAGCATGTCTTCGCCTTTTACACTTGAATGGGGGAGTGGCCGCGGATTTGATGGATTCGATCATGCTTATATTTCCGAGGGAAAGAGATCCTCTTCGATTAGGCCTAATGAACATGAAAGGAAAAAGGGTGTTCCATGGACAGAAGAGGAGCACAAGTGTGTTTTCTATCTCTTATACTATAACGAACTTCATTTTTTTTGAATGGATATTGCTGGAATACTTAATTATTGGAAGTTTAGATTGGATATAATTGACTTTTTCTAATGAATTTCATTCTTGGAATGTATGCACTTGAATTTATTACTGATTGATGTTATTGACATGAATTTGGGATGATTTTGTTACATAGGTTGTTTCTGATGGGGCTTAAAAAGTACGGAAAAGGGGATTGGAGAAATATCTCGCGCAATTTCGTGATTACTAGAACACCAACACAAGTTGCTAGCCATGCCCAAAAGTACTTCATCAGGCAACTTTCTGGAGGAAAAGACAAGAGAAGAGCGAGCATTCATGATATAACGACGGTTAACCTCAACGAGAATCAAAACTCTTCACCGGAGGATAAAAAACCGCCTTCACCGGAGCCATCTGTTGTTCTTCCACAGCAGTCGAATTCTGCTCCAATGCATAAACATCCTTTCCTCTGGAATAAATCGCACAATGATGCAGTCATTGATGGCTTTCAACCAGGAGGAGGCCTTGGAAATATGTTCTCTCCCTATGCAGTGAATTCTTATGGACACAAAATGCAGGGGCAACATATCCAAAGAGGTGGGATCCATGAATCATTATTGGGATCTCAGAACATGGTTTTTCAGATGCAATCAGGGCATTATTTTCCTCATGCATGATATTGCATTAGCCGTTGATTACACTTTGTTAGTTTGAAATTCCTAGTTTGGATTTTGTAGCATAGATTGGTTGTGCTCTTTGATCTTCTTTGTGAATATTTTGTTTCACGAGCACGAACTGGCACCGCTGTAAACGCAATGCAGAATCCACCTGCATTTGAGGTAGACGCGAGGTGTAGCCAGTAAGTTGAAGTTGCAAATGTCACATTGAAATCGAACTTGTTAACGAAATACTCGTATAATTGTTATTGCTCCAATTTTCCTTAGCACATGCTTTTTCTCTCATGATTAGTTTCATTCTTGCCTCACACTGTTGCTAGCATACCATAAAGGAATTTGTTGCGTCCACTCCAATTCCTATCATTATCGTCCCATTGTTCTCTTTCTCCACGTCCATCTAGTTATAAATAGAGCATAAACTGGATGATAAAAAAGGATTCAAATAGTCAACCTTCAATTTTATTGTATTTGTACGACTTGACTATCATGAAGAACTCCACTTGGAATAATAGAGAATAATTGGCACGTTTGACACTGAACAAGATTTTTTTAAAAATATTGACCAATTTTTTGTTTTCCACTATAACGTTATCCTGTACTACGTACTGAATGTTTATGGACACGGTATATTCCACTGTACGGTCGAAGCAAAGAATTCAAGGGAGGCAATATGAACCTAGGTAGCTTTTCACTTGGAAATGACAAGACTAGGCAACTTCTTTATAGAAAAAGGAACCCATATATGCATGTTGCACCCGAAAGCACCATATGCCACTTTATTCTGATTTTTATCATAATCTTAACCACTTACATAAAACTAGGACCTCAAACTTTCGGTTGTCCAATTGATTTTCTCTGTTCTTAGACAATATTCTGATATTTTATCCCGAAAATCATTCTAAAAGAATCAAACGAGGACTAAGTTTATGCATAATCGAAATTAAGCAAGAAATGCTTTTTATCATCCTCATGAAGATATTCGAAAGTAGAAAGACTCCAAGAGCGATCACGAACCCAGAAATCCAAGATATAGTGCGATCGGTTCTGTCCTCAGTTCAGATTGAATTGAATATTTGTTGTCAATATATTCCCATAAGAAGATTAGCGTGAAGCCCAACTAACTGGCGACCAATTTAACAATTTATAACAATTTTGATGTAGAAATTCAGATAACAAACTGTAAAGAGTGATTCGAATTAATGAAAAAATACAGACGTGAAAAAGGAAAATTAACAAGACAGACTTTTGAGAATTGTATATATAGATCAGGCCTTCTCTTCAGCAGACGCTTCATCTCCCGCAGGCTTAATAGCTTCATCGTCAGAATTGAAATACCTCTTCCAATACCAGTGTTTTTTCCAAGCTCTTTCATTCATTTCATCAATGGGGATTCCCTTAGTTTCTGGCAGAAAGAACGTAGCCCAACAGCCCATTATAACAATCCACGCAGCAAAGAAAAAGAAGATCCCGGATTTCATGTGGCACAGCATTGTGAGAAAAGCTTGAGCAATCAAGAAGGTGAAAATCATGTTCGTGCTTACAGCAAAGAAAAATCCAGCAGGTCTCGTCTCGAGTGGGAATATTTCACTTGGAATTAGCCATCCTAAAGGACCCCATGACCACGCGAAACCAGACACGAAAATGCAGATCAACACCACCACTATGTATGCATAAACTTGCGATATGGAGTTTGTTGCTTTAAGATGCTCTTCAAGCATTACTCCTGTAATAACCTGTAAAAAACAACAAAGTATTATTGCATCCTTAAAGAAAACAATCTGTACTAATTACTTATATGTCACAAACCTGAGCAATAAGCATTTGAATGGCTGCTTCAATAAGTAGAGCCCTTCTTCCAAATCTATCCACACCAAAAATTGCAACCAATGTGGATGCTGAATTGATTGAACCAGTCACTACAGATGACAATAGAGATGCATCTCCTCCCAACCCCATGGTTTGGAACAAAACCGGGGCGTAAAACATGATAACATTGATTCCAGTAAACTGTTGAAAAACTTGTAAAATAGTGCCACAGATAAGTTGAGGCCTACTCGACCGTTTCATTAGGTTTCTAAAAGGGTGATCGATCTTTTTCGCGACTTCAGTAGCTTGTAGAATCTCGTCATACTCCTTCTGGACATCTTCTACTCCCCGGATTTTCTTTAGAGCTTTTAGACCTTCTTGTGTTTTACCACGTTCGATTAGGCTTGTAGGTGTCTCGACTATGATGAGGGAGCCCAAGCCGAGGAAAATTGCTGGGACTGCAGCACCACCGAGAGAGATTCTCCAACCATAAGGATGCAATTTGGAAGTAAAATAGTTCACAATGTTGGCACACAGAATTCCCAATGTGATCAGCATCTGAAAACAAATGTTAAGGCCTCCCCTGTACTTTGGTGGAGCAATTTCTGATATGAAGAGTGGCACTGCCTGAAAATTCAGTTTGTTGAAGGGACAAATTATACATGTATTATGTACAGGATAAATCTATATGTACATGTTAACCAAAAATTTTTACTTTGATTTTTTTTTAGAAAAATCAAAATGTTGCAAGGAAGTTACCACCCCACATCGGGTAAAACCTAACCTCCGATATACAAAAATATACCTAAAAGAACAACATACGTAAGGAAAAACTTGAAAGAACATGATATGGACTAATTCAAACTCTCAAAGTATGCCGTTGAAGGCATGAATACTTAAATAAATGAGTCTTAACCATCTCGTCTAAAAGCTTAAAATTTTGGACAAGATGGTCCACTTTTTGATCATCTTGACACATTATTGACTGCATTAGTTATCTCTATCGAATTTCAATGAAATTAAATACTATTATGATGTGACTATCTTTAAAAAAAATGCATAAAATAATTTTCTCAAAATCCTAATGATATCCACATATAGTATACAGGAATCAGAAAAACAGGAAAAAAAAAATCAAATGGAGACATAAAATACATCCAGATGAGATGATTGCGGAAAAACGTTTTAGATCACTTGAAAGACACGGTATATGTATACATGTATATTATATGATTTATATCACAATCAATCAATACCTGGTTTCCAAATCCGACACCTGCACCCAAACAAAGCCGTCCAACAATGAGCATCGGAAGATTCATTGCCGCGGCGTTGAGTATAACGCCGACGAAGAAGAAAATGGCTGCCAATTGCATGGTAGGTTTTCTTCCAAACTTCTTGCAACATTTTGATGCAAAGAAACAGCAAACCACAGCCGCAAGGTACAAACTTGAAGTGAATAATTGAAGAAGTTGATTGTCATATTTGCAGTAGTTATTCTCTTTTGCTCTGTGCTTCTTCGTGTACACAACTGGAAAGAACTTCAACAAGAAATCATCCATGGACGTAACTCCTCCTGAAAATAGACAACACGTTACATATCGGTTCGCACTCACCGGAAATTCCTCGTCACAAAAAAAGTACGTACGATTAAGTATTACAAACCTGAAATACCAATGTCATAGCCAAACATAAGACCACCAAAGGCTGCAATGATGGAACAAACAAGGACTTGTGTTGTAAGCTTTGCTGGGAAGTCTTGACCCCCCTTTTCGAGGGACATGATTTGGGGAGCCATGGTCGCTTTCTTAGGGCTCTGAGAATGAGTAAAAATTTGGGATGATGGTGATGACGAAGAAGAAGCAAAAACAGAAGAGAAAGAGGTGAGTGTTTGTTTGGACTAGGTTTCACTATCTTAACTAACTATATACTGTCCCGTATGTTAGGTTAATCCAGTTAGAGTTCTGTTGGAACTTATGATTCCCATTATATTATGGATATGGATATGGATATGGATATAACCTTTTGACCTTATCGACTACTAATTTTGGTGAAACTAAGGTGCGTAATACCTAAAGTGATACTTATGTTCGTGAGAGATGGTTTTGTAAAACAATTGCAACTCTTGCAAGTTAGAGATAGTATTGTAAAATCGTCACATTCGTTGTAACACTAGAATAATAATTGCGTTATAATTCTTGCTTAGATTATGAATATGCACAATTCTAAAAGGATAACATTACCTTAACAATGTTGGGAGTTTAATGTATCCGAGAATCAATAGAAACACTTAGCGAGAGAAGAAAAAAAGAAAATATAATTAAACAAGAAAAGGGTAAAAAAAAGCTTTAGATTTTACGTTTAATGTTATATTTTATTTTCATAACTAGCGCCGAAAAACATTCCAAAGAACGTTTGACCAGTCTAAATTGACTATTTCTTGTATAAATATTTAAGGATAAAATTTGTTTATTTGCACGTAATAATATTTTCGATTGTTCATAATTTTGACACATAATTATCAAATATAATTCTTTCCGCTAACAAGTAATACATTTGATTTTAATAAATTCGAAAGGTTATTTCGACTATTGAAAGTGGGATTGTTAAGCACAAAATCTTTAATCTTATGAATAAGAGATAAAATGATACTGTCTAAAGAGGATGCTTCATCAACCCATAATAAAAATGTAGGATTCTCAAGTACTGTCTACATGATTTCTATACAAACAGGACTTACTGTCCAAGAGAAATCAGAAGTGCAAGTGCAAGGAAGAACCGCAGGTTCAAGAAAAAGAAATTCTCAAGTTCAAAGGGAGAAGAGAAGAAAATCTCTCAAGTCTACGTTCGAGAATTGAAGATCAAAATCTTCTAGAATCAAGTTCAAGTTTTGAAGGATCTTGCTATATGTATATCGAGAATTACATAATGTATTACATAATGTTACATGACATTCTATTATTTGCCACTTTAAAATATAGTCAACTTTTACATCTAATCTTTTTCCTTTACATTATGTTATGTAATCCCTTATGTACAAGTAACAAAATTCAATTTTGAAATTCGAGTCAAAGTCTTGGAGATTCAAAGCCAAGTCACGTTGAGTCCAAGCCCTAGAAGTCAAGCAAATCAAATTTTCAACGAGCCTTGAAATCCAGGATTCAAGCCACGTGGCCCCTTGTCTTCGACACCCGAATCGTTAATCAAAGAATTTTGCCATCTCGCAGTCACAAGAGGATCAATTCACTTCTTAATTTCTCAAAAATCAAATTTTAACAATTCACATATTCTTATACAGAGATTTGTTGCACAATACTCCCCACCAAGAAGTTCTTCTTTTGCATAGTTTTTGTACCCTTTAATTTCAGAAATAGGTACTCATACCTTATTTTCACTCAAATTTGTCATTTTCAAAGTCGAAAGAAGAATACGTTTATCCAAAGAAAAAATAGGGGAAGTCTTTGAATTTTTCTAAGAATAAGAAGTGTTAAGTGTATCTTACATGGATTCTACAAGATTTGGAAACTTTGTCCAAATATCTTTCAAAAGTACAGATAGAATAATACATAGATGGAACTTGATTATATATTCTAAGTTATGCCAGCTTTTTTGTAAATTCCGGTGAAATTGAATATTGATACTCATTTTTTTTAGAATTTTTCCTCTTATACAATCATTAATGGACTGTAAAATGTACAGCACTGACTGATTAGCGTGAGCCCCACTAATTAATTAATCAATGGGCCCACGCTAATCAATCAGGACTGTACATGCAGCATCTTTCTTTTTTTATTGTCAAAATGGTAAAGAGAACCTACAATTATGAAATTAGAATACCATATGGCAAAGATCTTACAGGTTGAGTCTTCATCACACCACTTTGATTAAAGTAATGCTTTAACGCCCATGGTACTTAGCACTATTCTAGGTGCTAGTAAGGGTCCACCTAGACTTGTCCTATAAACTTAAATGTACATTTAATTAATTGGATAATTTAAGGTAGGCCCTCACTACTACCTAGACTGATGTCAAATAGCATTATTCTTTAGATAATACGAGTTAGATCAATTACGAAAAAGTTCACGTGCTTGCACATCAAGAAGTTCATCGAGGACAAAATACAAATAAACAGATTCGGTTTTAAGATTGGCAATAGTTTCAGAATGAACTCAGCGATTTTAGCTCGTTTCAGTGCAGAACCATCTGCAACGACGACACTGCTATGCTACAAAAGGTACGAAAATACTAATGTAATCACTTACTAGTCGTTTTCCTCTGCCCATTAACTAAATACAGACGAAACTTTGATTTCCAGCAGCGAACTTGCAAAATTAACTCCTTACTATTAATCACTACCGCATTCTGGGTCATCTAAGCTAAACTTGACTGAATGAATTTTTTGCTAACAGAATCTGGTCTTACTTTTATCTTTCTGATTCTTCTTCAACTCCACCAGACGTACGCTCTGGGTCGCATTCATTTATCTTGTTAGTTACTGTCTTGTTCACTATGCAAACGCTTGTGGATTCTTCAATGCTTCTCGATGAAGAATTTGTTGGTTCCTGCACAGTATCACCAAATGTTGACAATGTGAGTCCTACATTTTGTCAAGTAATAGAATTATGAGTTCATCAATCACTCTGTGTGTGTGTGTGTGGACCAAGTAGATTCTTACTGCAGGTTAGTAAGAGGTTTTTTTCTATGTTACCAAATAAAAAGACTGCCGCACAAACCTCTGTCGTAATGCAAGTCATAGAATTTTCCGAATCGTTTTTCTCTTTTGGAACACGTAATAGGATAGTTTCATCATGGTTTTCTCCATTACTAGTACTAATTTCTAATTTGACTGCATTGCCTAGCGTTGAACCGTGTGTGTTTGCATGGTGTATAGCTTCTTCATCCTCTTCAGAATTTTTGTGGGTCCCCGAGTTACCATTCTCTTCCACTAATATTGACGAGGAAAGAGGAGTTCTGTCATCAGCAAATTTTTGAAGCTCAAATTTGGTCGCTTCATAACTTTCTGAAGTTGTAGCTTTGCTGCATTCTTCATGATCCATCGGATAATTCAACTGGCTCTCATGTCCAGTATCTTCACATGATACCAAGTTTTGCGTTTGATCCTCGTAATTAGTTGATCCATCAATATCTATATGTGCATCAACTTCTTCAGTAGACTTCTCTTGATGATGGGAAGATTTCTGCTCACAAAACGGTCAAAAAATAAAATGTAGAAATTATCTGAAAAGACCACATGACTCGGAAGAATATTCGATATTAAACACCAATTATAGAAAACATCCCAACCTCAAAACAGATAATTCAGTAATGCAAAAAGAATTAAAGCATAATTGGCCACAACCCTGTGAATCAAACTTAACCAAAAATCCCCTTTATCAAAGACTAATTTACAGTACACGACTTCATTGCATTGGACAAGACACTGTGACTATCATACGGACCTTGCTTGTTCAAGGGATTATTTTTAGAACAAGGTTCCTATTTGTTCCATTATATTGGCACTAATGGACCATTCTTTTCGCAGGAAGAAACAGAAGCATATTTATGTGAATTTTACTTTTTATTACGTTAGACATTCTTAAAGCCCTATCAAGATAGCTCCTAAATTTGGATATATGCAAGATTTTGTCATAATGTGGATTTTCCCCATCCCATCTCTAGCTTTAGATCCCAATTTCATTAAAAAAGAAAAATTATTATTTATTTTTGAAGTAATTATTTGAATAAACATCTGTAAATACTACTATCAGTGTTGAAGACATGAAGGAGAATCACGTGTTATCAAAAATATTCAGGGAAAGTATATCAATGGTAATTTAGGTAGATCAGGACCTGAAAACATAATTTGTACACATAATACTTGTGTATATTTTTTCTTGTCTTGTTAGACATTAATGTATTTGTACAGTATTCATGAGAAATAGGCGTGTCAATTCTAATATAGAAACAAGAGATAGTCACAACAAAGTAGTGCCTTCGAATATTTCTGTATATTCCAAAACAATAAGAATCAATCTTCTGGAATCTTGATATGCGTATTCACATGGTTTTATGTTTTCGTAAGAGTTTTGGCAAACCTGTTCGATATCTGCACCGTTATGTGGGTGATTTGAATCCTCCAAAGGCATTGAATTTTGGGACAAAATTTCACTGGAAACTTCAGTTCTAAGTTCATACGGCATGTTGTTTTCTACAGCTATGTCAAACTGCCCAACCTCCATTTGGATATTTTGCTGAAATTCTGATAGGTTATCCACGGAAAAGTTTTGTTGTAGTACAGATTGGGGGGATGAGCATGGACTTGGGGCAGCTGGAATTTGTTCATTCGTTGGTGATACAGATGCTTGGGGATCATCAGAGTCCAGAGAAGCCCCAGAAGTTCCAACTTCAGAAGAATGTGGTTCATCTTCAGTACGTTGAAGTAATTCAAGACTGTTATGATCCTCAAAATGTGTTGAAGTAGCCACCAGCTCTTCATGTTCAATCACTTTTTTAAATCTGTTGTCAGAATCTTCAGAAGATATTCGGTTATCAGATACTGAACCTGTGGATTCTAACATGTGACGACACTTATCCTGTTTCTCAGATTGACTTCCAATGTGTTCAGCTGAATCTGAATCAATCATCAAAGACTTTTCTAACTGGTTCCCTTTATCATCCTGCAGAATTTTTGAACCATTTACATCGTAAATGGAGTTCAACTCAGTATTCAACTTCTCACAGGGATCAGAAGGTTCCTATTCTTGATAAAAAAAGGGGAGTAAATGCACAAATGATTTTTTGAACTCCGACTCTGAAAAAAATGCAGAACACACAAGTAACTGAGTGTTTAAAAGAAAACAAAATGAGGAAAACCCATCCTAGGATAAATTACAACTTCACTATCCATCATCTTGCCGTAGTCTAGATGAGTTTGGAGCTTTAGTTTGTAACAAGTACACGTGAAGGTTTTCTGACAGACTTGAATAGTTTCTCTCAAAAGAAATGATTCGTGTTAAATCATCCATCTCAAAACAAAATGGCAGTGAGTTGAAAGGCTGCCCGGAGGCTCCTATTAGCTTGTTAGGTTGTAATTTTACAATGTGGGACAAACGTGGAAGGCTAAATGAAGCGTGCCCACCAGTATGGCACGGTTGATAACAAGCACAAGGTGCAACTTTGGCACTGGTAATTTCAGAATAAGGTACAACAGTAAACATAAACGGAGGAAATATGAAATTGATGTATTGACATAAATGAGACCCGTCCCATACCTCCAATACCTAGCTTTCATGCCATGTCAAAGTATCAATATTAAAACCAATTAATGGCAATGAGGGGAGAGGCCTCCCAGGACCTTTTATTCTGGTTTAGAGTTATCTATCGGCTGATCTAGTGCCCTTATTCTTAACACGCTGGAACTAAAAAGCGTTATGTCTGAACCAGCTAAAACTCTAGATCTAGGAATGAGTATGAAAACATTACTTCCAAAATTTTGACTCTACTGGTATTCAAGAATAATTCCCATGTGATGGGTGATTCACTATGTTTCATGCTGATTTTTATGCTCACTCACGTTTCAGAAACTAAAAAATTTCATGTGATAATACCTGTGCAGAAACTAAACAGCTCTGCAGTTCTCCATGAATCTTTGCACTGAAGTCGGTATGGCCTTGACAGCTGTTGGGAAAGTCAGTCTTAGGAGGCGAAAATGAATGTGCACCTATAGAATTTTGTTCAGTGACTTTTTCTGCCAGTGTGTTTGACAGTGTCTTATCCTCAGACTTGTTAATTTTTGAAAATCCAAACTCTATGATATCTTTATCACCGATTTCATGCACTTCTCTTGATCTTGATTCATTTTCATCTATTGCAGATAGGTGAGATGACGCTGCCCACAAGTCTTCACTACTCGAGATAATCTCCTTATCCAAGTCCACATCATATATTGAAATTTCTTCATCCTGAGATGATAAGTTTTCATCATGCATTTGAGGAGAACTTACTTCTGAAAACTCTACTTGCAAGTCAGATGCAATGGAAAGGGCACGAGCGTGATAGTGCTGAGTCTTATTAGCATAATTAAAGTGCTCCTCTGATCTGGTCTTCGCAAAATGAGGAGCATCGTGATTTGAATGGTCACCTGTTTGGCCATTATTCTCCCTATCTTCAGCAATGATCCTTGTAGCTGGAGAAGCAATAGATTTCAATACTTCATTTTTGTCTATCTTATAGAATGGTTCATCCTCTTCTGAGGAGGAAGATGAGCTTGGCCTGACATTGACATCTTCAATCGGAATTGGTTTTGTCTGCACTTCAACATTATCTTCTTCATTGTGATGTTCAAGTCCCTGCTCACATACTTGGATGACTTCTTTGATCTGATCATCTACACTGTCAACCTTTGTCTTAGACTCAGGTTCTTGAAATTGTTCTGGCTCTACTATCCCAATGAATTTGCTCTCTGTAATCAAAAGGTTTTATAGTGATTCAGTTTTGTGAAATTTAAGTACCTATATTTAGTTATCTTGCATTTTTCCTCTGCTCTTGCATTTGTCCATTTTTATCATTATTTTTATTCTTTAGTTATTTTAATGGGAACGATTAATTATCATTCACATTTTTCACTACAGTCACGAACTATAATATATATCATACGGTGGAGCAATAGTAACATGGAACGGTCCAAAATAATAAAGATTTTGTTTACCTAATTTGCTTCCTGGTTTGGAACATGCAATTCCTTTGGAAGCTCTCTGTCTCAATCCAACGTTATGACACGCAGAGGTTGCTGCACAATCTTGCACGAATTCCCTGGGTAAGGATGCCCCTAAACTGAAACTCTCATGCCTGCAGAACATTACGTCCATGTTCTGAACTGCCATAAACTCTTGATTGAAACTGTCCCCCGTGAGATCAGGTTTTTCCTCACATGGATCATAAGGAAGATCGAAAGGATTGCGCATAGGTATTAAAACAGAAGGAGCCGAGCCTGGACCAGGTGAAAACAGACCAATGTTATTCGGAAGAAGATTGTTTTTAGGTATAGTAATATGAGCAATTTGATCCGCAGGTTCGTTGATCTTCATGTTCCTCAGTGTCCTTCTAACCTGAAGGCTGAGCAATTTCCTTGCTTTCCGTCTAGCAATTAGACTCTCCAATCTTTTATTCCTTTCAATCTCTGAAATTCCAAGATCCATGAGATTCTTTTGATCATCCAAAGTCCATTCAACAGCTTTATTACCAGTCTCTCTTGCCTCCTCTTCATCTTCAGAGTCCTCTGAAGTTCCTATTTCACTTCCACCAAAGTTAAATTTTTCAGACCTTCCGTAGGAGCCATTACAAAATTCTGGTTTTAGACTTTTAGACATACACGAGTAGGAACATTGGGAGGGATTAGATGAAGAATCGACCTCCACCTCCCGAATTTCTTTTGGGCATTCTTCTGCCAAGGCACTTTTGTCGACCAAATCATAATTGACACTCGTTGAGAAAATAGTACTTTTCTCATCCACATTGTTTTGTGAGCAATCATCTTCTCTCCTAATATCTTTTGCTCTTCTTCGTCTAACAGAGTGAACATGAACCAAAGACTTCCCATTTCTACCAACAATTGTTCCATAAGCTTTTCCATCATTATTCTTCTCATCCCTTTTATATTCTTCGGCATTTCGAAGACTAGGAAAGATTCTAAGAATGACAGTAGTAGAAAGAATAAAGGGAAACGAATAAATCAAAAACCAGAACATTGATGGAAAAATTATATACAGGAGAAATAAGAATAACAAAGTAAATGATACAAATGGATATTTTATAGCAGAATTAACCAAAATTTTGGATGAAAATTTCAGTATTTTCCATAAAAAAACTTGAACATCATTTGCATTAACATCCATTTTCTTTATTTACAAAATGATTTTACTTTTCAAAGAATCGTTTCAATTTTACAATGATAATATCTTATAATCAAACAATTATCTCGCATTGTACTTAATACTTATTTACAATCCTATTTCATACATTTTGTAAAAGAACGCTCAATCAAATCCGAAAAGTATTAAATAAAAGAGAGAAAAGAAAAATATATAATCAGAGAACGGAAAAAAAGATTGGGAAAAAACCCTCATTCGAAAATCTACCAAATTACTTTCCTGTGTATAGGTTTGTGTGAATTAGGTGCCCAAATTCCTGGTTTGAAGTCTATATATGGTGAAAAATATTAAAAAATATTCGCAGTTTTTACCTGAAAATGGCAATGAGTTCTTTTAAATATAGAAAATCTCTGTTTGGCTGACAGCTTCATTCGATCCTGTATTTAAGGACATGTCTACTACTGTTCTCCTAATTCCCCGGTACGCAGGAACCTCCATCAATCGATGAACAAATTTCAGAATATTTGTGCTAAAATAGTTTGTTTTTACTGTAAAGGTCCCTAAACTCTTGACTTATGTTACACTTTAGTCTTCAACTTCCAGAAAGAAAATTTACATCCTCGACATTTTTACTTATGTTGCTCCCTTGGTTAAGAGAATGGATTTCATCCAAAATTCTGTTAAAGTCGCACGTAAGTAGCACGTGACCAATTGTTTTGAGTATATATTCATTGTGCTATTTTAAAGATAAATAAAAAGAAAAAAAATAAGAAAACAAATTCCCTACCGATTACTTTGTAAATACGAGCAAGGATTTTTCTCGCACTAAGTAATTGAATACGATCGTTGATTATCTCAATAGTAGTTAAAGTTTAAGAAAACTTCAGAAATTTTCATGTGATTATTAAATTTTAGCTTATTTAGATGTTATGGGCGTGTTCGATAGAAATTAAAATTGAAAAATTAATCGTTATTGTTGACTTTTATTAGACGAGTGAGACCCAATAACTGCCATATTTTCAATTTTAATTGGATTTTAAATTGTACCGAACAATCCCTATATATATATATATATGTAGAGAGATGCTACATGGCCCGGCTCAATAACCGGGCCAAAATACAGGTGCCGAGGTGGCACCATACAATTGGAGGGAGAGCTGATCGAAGTCAGCCCCCCATCCAATAACAAGGCGCCACCTCGGCGCCCTGTCAAATGTCCCGGTCACTGAGCTGAGACATTCAGCAAAATTCATGTATGTATAGTATGTGTGTGTGTGTTATCTTCGTATTATATTATTCGTTCTTCCATATATTTGACACTTGCAACTTCAAATATTTCGTGATACACCTCAACTATTAACATTTTGAAGTAGTCTCATTCTTATCTCACTTTGAGCAAACATTATTTCTCAGTGAATAGTAATGGGGAACGTAGGAATGGATCTCTCTAATCTTCCTCCATTACAAGCTGCGTAGCACACTCACCCTCAATATTCAAAATGTGCATTTATATCCTCGGTCTTTCAATTTGATAACACTTGAAGAGTTTAGTGGACAATTTTAGTATTTTACCACGTCTTTAACTAAAAGGTAATTATAATTACACTACAGTATTTTATGTGTTAGGTTATATTTTAATTTTCCTTAAAATTCTCAATCTTTACTCATTGTGGCACTTGTCTGCCAAAAAAAATAAAAAATTAGTTACATTTTACTGTCAACCTTCCATTGATTAACAAAAAATGATGACCTCTAATACAACTAAAATCTAGTGCACTAAATAATAATTATGGTGCTAATATAACTACCTTTTTTTTTCATTTTTTTTATAACCGTGGATGTCCGTGTCAGCTTGCTCGCACCTCGACTAATTCCACGGGACCCTAAAATTTACGGTCGGATACTCACCTTAGTGATCATGAAGGGACTCGAACTGTGCTAATATAACTACCTTAACTAAAAAGACATTTAAATATAAAATAAAAGAGAGATTTTTTTTTTCTATTTCTTTTCTTTTCTTTCTCTTTCAATTTATTTTTTTAGTTATTTAAGAATTTAAATGCTCAAATTTATAGGTACACACATCATTGTCAACTACTTCTGAGCTCTAGGTAGTTATATTACATTTTTAGGTAACATATTTCAAAACCATGGACATCTGAATGTAGGAATCCCAAATCATAGCTAGCTAAAAGTGTTGATTTCTCGGTTTGTAGGCTGCTCAAGGTAACAATGTCTCTCGTCATAATTAGCAATATCCACAAACATTAGTGACAATCTCTTAGCCCCTGTTTGAGTTACATTAAAATTTTCATTTTCATTCTTCTATTCAATCATATATTCTCCATCAATCTACTATTTCAAAATATATTTTTCCAAAATAATGTGGATCAAACATATCCTTAATATAAGTAGTCCCATCACTCGTCACGGAGAATAAAATCTACATTCGTAGACAAAAAATCTGTAATCATATAAAAATCGAAAGCAACAACATTCAAACATTTAGCAGCCAAATGTATCGCAACGTGAATTGTAGACAACCAAATACGTCTTTTTTACCACTGGTAGTATCGTCCACAGAATCGGAAAAAAATCATTTTTCACCATTGTAGTTAATGCAATCTAACGTCCTCTTTGATTGGGAATGTCATTAAATTGCGATTTCCCCAAAAATGTAGATGTTTAAACAATTTTATAATTTCGCATAAGCACTTTGTTTAAGTTAATGTATAAACATATATTAAGAGTTTAAACTAAAACAAGTAATCACTTCAATAATTAATTTACAAACCAAAAAAGTTTGATAATTGAACCAAATAGACAAAATAATGAATCACCTCACCACATTCATGTGGTCTACAACCATGCGACGTACGTAACATAAATTGACACGAATGCCCCCAGGGCATATCTCCCAGTGGCAAAGGGGAGGGCGGTTAGGGCTCAGCGCGGTAGTGTGCAGAGTTCGATTCCCCGCAAGGTGGAATTGGCTTTGTTGCAAGCGGGAGTTACCATAGGGTTAATAGCCCAGNTGTTGCAAGCGGGAGTTACCACAGGATTAATAGCCCAGGCCTATCCAGCAGCTCTCCACCCTGGCTCCTGGGAGGCACATCCTGCGATTTACCTCCTCCACAATGGTCCAGGGCAGGGTCGGTGGGGGCCCTCAAGGTTGGGGTTCAACCTTTTTTTCATAAATTGACACGAATTATTTGGACAAAAACAGAGAAATTAAAATATAGGATAAAACGAAACGCACAAGAAAAACGCAGTGTATGCGGATAATTAACGGTCAAAACAAATCGCCCCCGGCAAATCCAACGGCTCAAATCTTCCTTCTCCATTCCCCCACCACAATCTCTGCTTCTCTGAACGAATCCATCCACTCAAAATCCATGTATCTGTATATATGAATCTGTGTGCTCAATTTGATTTTCTTTATGAAGCTTTTTCTTCATAAATTATGGCCACAATTGAACCCTTGCCTCCAATAATTCACAAACAGTTTACCATGTATACTTACCACAATCCCAATTATTTATACAGATACAGCTTCTTCTGCAATCGTTATAGAGCTTTACATGCAAATCCCTGTCGTTTAGTTCACGATTACGCGTCGTTTAGGTTACAACCTAGGGTTTCCAAGTTTCATCTTTGGTCAGGATTTTTGTCGAATGGTCATAAGCGATACTTTGATTACACGAAAATTTATGCTAACAGCTCTCGTGAACATGATACTGATTCCACTGACAAGGCTGAATCCCAGGGGCAAGAAAACCAGGAATCTTCGGGTTCGAGACCGGGTTCAAGCAGGAAGAAGGAGGAGGGGAAGAATAATTGGCGGTGGTTAAAGGGGAATAAACAATGGCGATGGCAACCTATACTTCAAGCGCAAGAGATTGGTGTTTTGCTTATACAGTTAGCGATAGTGATGTTTGTGATGAGGTTGCTTCGGCCTGGGATTCCATTGCCTGGTTCTGATCCTCGGACTTCTACAACGTTTGTGGGCGTTCCATATAGTGAGTTTCTGAATAAGATAAATAGCAACCAGGTGCAGAAAGTGGAGGTTGATGGGGTCCACATCATGTTTAAGTTGAAAAAGGATGCCATGAATACTGGAAGTATGGACAGTAGTGATGAACTGAATAGTAAGTTTCAGGACTCAGATTCTTTGTTAAGGATTGTGAACCCCACGAAGAGGATTGTGTACACGACAACAAGGCCAAGCGACATCAAAACGCCGTATGAGAAGATGGTTGAGAATGATGTAGAGTTTGGTTCCCCTGATAAGAGGTCTGGAGGGTTCTTGAATTCTGCATTGGTGAGTTATTATTACTCCTTTCGATTTCTGGTAATTTGCTTGTTAACTGATTTATGTTTATGAAGTAAAATTTTTTTTTCTTTCCTGCATTTCTATAAAGATATCTGTCTTTATTTATCTATGAATTAGGGCATGGCAAGCCTATGCATTACTTCTTTTAAGTATAAAGTTTGGTTCTTTTGCTTGTTCTTATGTTTTTCAATGCTATGAACTAAACAATTTGGCGAATTTACATTTATTACAGATGTAGCAAAAAATTGTGATGGGTCATCTGTGAAATTGTGATAAATATTGTAAACTGTTTGCGTTTGGTCTATTACTTTCAGTATTGAATTTTGCGTTTGGTTAGGATCACTTAGCTGTTGAGAATTTCCCTGATTCACTTAGTAGGAAAAGTATCCCTGAATTAGTTGGTTTCCTACCCTAGTTTTCTAATAATAAATTAAATCTTACTGTGATAGTACTTTTACTAATGCAATATCGTTCTCGGACTTTTGTTTGGTTTTGGCCCTTCACCCCGGACTGGTAATCATGATTCTTCCCTTGATAAAACTAAGACCTTGCTCTCTCTGCTATCACATTAATATACACAAAATTTTATCTTTTCAAATCACCTTATGTAATTGTAATTGTGTTTTGATTGAGCATTTTACATCAGTATCATCTTTTTTCCATCTTCCCAATCATCTTGCTTCTTTCTTTCTTGCTTAGTTGTCAACAAGTACTTCTTTACCATTTAAAGGAGATAATCATTTCTTACTGCTTCACTCTTTTTTTAATCTTAAAATCGTCATTAGCAGTCACTCATTTTTTACCTTAACATCTTCATTTCAGCCATACTATTTTGCTTATAGGTGGTATATTTATTGCCGACGGCTTCCTAGCACAAACGTTCTTACTTCTCATTTATTTGTGCTTGTTAGTCACATTGTACCCTCTACTAGCCTGGTCATTTTGTGTCTCATGAATATCCTCATTTTAATCTTTCTGATGATGGATGTCTTATCCTACACACAGCAACTGTGGCTTATATTTATTTGAATTTCAATATTAAACCATATCTATTATATATTTCAAGTCAACTACAGCCTATACATTCATCATTCAACCATGACCTACTAATCTTTGTCTGTTTTCAATGCGCTCTAACTATCTTGCTCCTTTTTTTTTACCGTCAACTAGTGCTTCTTTACTATTTAAGAAGATGGCATTTGTTACTCAGTCCTTGCACATTTATATTATCGTGAATGGCGAGCTGTAATGTTTTGGTGTTTTGGCTATACATGTTGTATCTTAGTTTCCCATGATTCGACACCATCAACGCGCCTATTCATGCTGCATATATCAATTTTAACTTTACCTGTCAGGCTGTCAGCTGCACTATGCCTTCTACTTGGAGCTTGTTTGACCAACTGCTGAACAATTTGTAAGCTGTTGCATTGTGTGGGTAAAATTTTTTGGTTAGAGACTATTAGCCCCAAAGATAAGCTCTTCAGGAAATAAATAAAAAGACGTGGACGTATTTTTAACATCTTATAGACTTCTCTTGTTTTACCAATTAAATACTTTGCTTTCAAATGCCACACATTAGTCCAATCGAACCCCTTGCCATTGACACTACTCCCTCCATCTCTGGTGGACCCTCAGCCCCACTTTTGACACCCCATTCTCTCCTCTAGCTACCCTTTCCTTCTCATCACTCTTTCAAATAAAATCTGCATACGGCAGCCACCCAAACTCCGTTCCCACCCTGGCCCATTCCATATATCAGATTGTTCTTGTCCCACAAACTTGAAATTCATATAGGACAAAAGATTAAGGAGTATATTGCAATTTATTTTGATTGATTTTCTTTATTTTATTTCCATAGTTATTAGTTTGAAATAAAATATTTTTCAATTATAATTGTTGATGTATTGGTCTATATTGAAATTCTCCTCTTCTCTGTTTCTCTGTTTCCCCGTGTTTGTCTTGCTCATTCAGCATCAAATGATATATTTTTGTTTGTCTTCTCATTCTGTGAACAAATTCACTGTCAGAAGCTACAATTCGCAGTGTTCTTTGTCCCAAAGAACATTGAGAATCTTTACATTAATTTGATCAAAAGAAGAGTCTAGTTATTGTTCGTTAAAGAGAAGAGTCTTTTTATTATTTGTCAGAAAAAAAGAGTCATTAGTGGGATAAGAAAAGAGTCAACCACATAAGAATCTAAATATGACAGCCCAAACAGCCAAGCCAACCACTAAAAAGCTTCGAGGGCTCTTTTAGCACATGCACAATTCATGGAACCACATAGAGTTGCGCATAATATTATGTGACACCATTAGGCAACACTATCCACATTATCTTCAGACTTGGACTCAAATGATCTACAACCTCGAGACATCAGCAACTGCCAACTACCATTTAAAACCACCACAGGGGTCGCTGTTACCAAATTTGTTTGTTTTGTTAATCTACTTATTTCTGTAGATCATCATTGGCACCACTAGATTCAGGTTGTGATTATATGGAAGTCTTGAGATAACTAATAAATTTGTATATGCTCCTAGTAGTGTCACCACTATTATCCACTCTATGATTAATAAAGTTGTAAGTTTTGAGCAAATTAAGGATAACCATCCTAATTGTCCAGATTTTTTTGTCATTCTTAAAGGCCTCTTATGTAATGGAAATAGAGAGCATGTAAACTTTCTAATTATGGATGGTTATTTTTTCAAGGAAATTAATACGCACTCCTTGTAATTTGTTTAATAGTATGAGAACTGCATGTTGGAGACTTAGTCGGATATTTTGTCAGGGATAAAACAATAGGATGTGATTACCACTGACACTCATGAGTGTGGACGTGCTTTAAAACTTGATAGCGTTGTGGATAGAACTGACTTTGTTTTGAAGACCAAACACGTACCACATAGCAAATTAGAGAGTTCTTTTATCTGACTTTGTATAGTTGGTTTAATGTCGTAACTAGTAATCCTAAAAAGGGACTGCCTAACTTCATGTATTTTCTTTCTTGTTTAAGTTGATAATACACTTCCTTTGTATTCTTCTTTGATTTATAAAAATAAAAGGATAGAACCGACTCCATTCTAATTTCTTTGTTTTGCAGATAGCCTTATTCTATGTTGCAGTGCTTGCAGGTCTTCTTCATCGGTTTCCTGTAAGCTTTTCTCAGGTATGAACCATTACATTGTATATGTTTGCTTCTGAAAGCAGATGTTTTGGTACATGTAATCGGTTGCAATATACAGAATTCACCAGGACAGCTTAGAAATCGCAAGACTGGGGGTTCGGGTGGAGCCAAAGTGTCTGAACAAGGGGAAACTGTTACTTTTGCTGATGTTGCTGGTGTTGATGAGGCCAAGGAGGAGCTAGAAGAAATTGTGGTATGTTGTGCTCCTCAAGATTTTTGTATTACTTGCACAATGGGATTGTAGTTCTTTACATTTGGAGAGACATTTCTCATTCAGGAATTTCTTAAGAACCCAGACCGGTATATGAGACTTGGCGCACGCCCTCCTCGAGGTATTCTTTTGGTAAGTTAAGTCCTCAACCAAGTAGGGGTTAAAGATCTAGTGTTCGAAATCACATATAAGTACACTGTTATTGCCTGCTATTCACACTCAATATTGCCTGGTGATAACTGATAGTCTGCTAAAAAAGAGGATCTTTTATATTAATGCTCAATATGCTTTCGAAATACTCTAAAGATATGATCAACATGGTTAACCTGATTTCATCAGATTTATGATAAAATAAACATAAAATTAACCCTAATATTTTGCTGAAGTCCTGTTTCTTCTATCTACATTGACTTGTACATACTCTTTTCTGTTTTAGTTTGTTTCCAGACTATTATTGAAATATCATTGTACTTACAGCATCATCTTACAGGTGGGTCTCCCTGGGACAGGTAAGACACTTCTAGCAAAGGCTGTTGCTGGGGAAGCTGAAGTTCCCTTCATCAGCTGTTCAGCAAGTGAGTTCGTTGAGTTGTATGTTGGCATGGGAGCATCTCGTGTCAGAGACCTTTTTTCTCGAGCAAAGAAGGAGGCCCCATCAATAATATTCATAGATGAGGTTTCTCTTCATCCTCCCCCCTCCTTCCTACTGGAAATTCTTGTCCAATCTCTGAGGCATCTGATGAATAATCTTTCACAATGTTCTGAATTAGCGTTGCTTAATGTGTAGATAGATGCTGTAGCTAAGAGCCGTGACGGTAAATTTCGCATTGTCAGCAATGATGAGAGGGAACAAACCTTAAATCAGTTGCTCACTGTAAGGTTTTTGGAAATTAATATTTTTTTCTTGCTCACGACATATTTGGCTTACCCAGGAAAGATAAATGTACTAGAAAATATTCTGCAGGAGATGGATGGATTTGACAGCAATTCAGCTGTAATTGTCCTTGGGGCTACTAATAGGGAAGACGTTTTAGACCCAGCCTTACGTAGACCTGGAAGATTTGACCGAGTGGTTGCGGTTCGTGTCCTAATTTGAAATTTTCCTTTATGAGTGATGAAAGTTGAAGAATTACAACTTTTTGTGCTTTAGTAGCTTTCTTGAAATAAGTTGCACAATATTTGGTCTTTAGGTGGAAACACCTGATCGAACTGGAAGGGAAGCCATTTTGAAAGTACATGTTTCCAAGAAAGAACTTCCTCTTGGGAAGGATGTTGATCTGGGTGAAGTCGCCTCTATGACAACTGGTTTCACAGGGTAGTTATTCTCCATCCTCAACTTATGATGGATTGATTTTGACCTTAACTAACATTTTAAATTGTTTTTCTCTTTCTGATTTTGGATATTATGCAGGGCAGATCTGGCCAATTTGGTGAATGAAGCTGCATTGTTGGCTGGAAGGCAAAGTAAACTTCTTGTGGAGAAAATTGATTTTATCCTAGCTGTAGAGCGATCGATAGCGGTATAAGATGCACACTATTTTTTTTTTTTTTCCCCTGTTCTGAGATATGTCATTGTATCTGTATTGTATTGGTAATCGACCCCATTGGTTATTTTAGTTAGGAACCGAAAGACTCATGATTATCAAGTGTTATCTAAAATTATTCAGGCAAAACCTTGTTTCATACAATATGACATACTGAACATTATAGTTAGTGTTATTAGGCACATCATCTAGTTTTCTCATTGGGCAGGGTATTCTTCAGGGATGGTTATCATGCATGTGGTCAAAGCACTCTGCGAAGGAGATGAGATCCATGTCTAGATGCATAAAAAATTGTATACCTTTGATTGGCAGCTTAATATCATTGAGTTGATTTCTATATTCCAAAACGTGCAACCCCTTTCCTGACTTTTGATAATTTCTTGAGTTTAGAGCTTTTATTATCATGTGTAGTGTGAGTTCAATAATTTTTTGTAGTTCATTGAGTTTTCTATTAGATTTAGAAGTCTGGAAGATATGAGTCTTTTGCTTATTTCCTTTTATTTTCATTAGTTTATACGTTGTGCTTCTTTTCTTGCTTGGTGGGAAATGGATATTATAGAATTTGAAACCCTTTTTTTCGCTGTTCTATAAGGAATAAAGAAAAAGGATTCTTAGATAAAGGTTGAGGTAGAGAGAGGCATATAAACAATGGAAATCAAAATTTACTCGGTGGACTGTGTGCTACCTGCACGTTTTGACATATTCCTCACTTGGACGTAGTTGTCCTCGTGGGTATAATTTTTTTTTTTTCTTTTATATTGCAGGGGATTGAAAAGAAGACGACCAAGCTGCCGGGTAGTGAGAAAGCTGTTGTTGCTCGGCATGAAGCTGGTCATGCGGTAGTGGGAACTGCTGTTGCAAATCTTCTTTCTTGTCAGCCGCGTGTTGAGGTAGTAGCACCAAAGTTCATTGATTGCTTTTTGGTGGGCTATATTCAACTTATTGTTATGGCCTCTGGATTAGGTCCATGTGACCTCTAGCTCCAACTTATAGGCTTTCCTTAACAGCTGGCTTCGATACTTTTCGTTTCATCATTCCCTTTATTAAGAAATTTCATCAAAAGAGAGGCGGTCTTTCTTCATTTACTAGAAATCCATCCACTCTGATATATAGTAGGGGTGGTGTGTGCACTTCAAAATTAAGAAGACAAGTACATTGCTATCATTGTAGCCCTTTTTTCTCAGTAGTCTTTGCAAGTTAAAAATGATCTGCACACATCAGTGGGACACTCTTTAGTCTCTACTGACTGTATTTCAGAAAAGATATATATTATGAAGAACAATGCTGCTGCGATAATAATTTTTAAAAGGAAATATAAAAATAATGCAATACATTTCAATACTACATGGCATTTAGTATTCCCTTTTCAGTGTCTAGAATCTTGATGAATCAAAGATCATCACTATTACTAAAAAATTGTATTTGATTGCATATGCAAAAAATTTGTAGTGTTCATTTTAAATACAGTAGAAGTCTAAATCTGTAACGATTTATTGTGGAGTATGAATCTGTATATATGGTGCAATACATTGATCACCATCACATTGTTTTTCTTTCTTTCAAAATTTTTTTTTTCGCTTTCAGAAGCTTAGCATATTGCCAAGGTCTAGAGGGGCACTGGGATTTACTTACACTCCCCCAACCAATGAAGATAGGTATTTGCTCTTCATCGATGAGTTGCGTGGGCGCCTTGTTACTCTTCTTGGGGGCCGTGCAGCAGAAGAGGTTATTTATTGTGGACGTGTATCAACAGGTGCGCTTGATGATATACGGCGAGCAACAGACATGGCCTACAAGGCAGTGGCTGAATGTGGCCTTAATGAAACCATAGGCCCTATTTCATTAACTACTCTTTCTGGTGGTGGATTTGATGAGTCTGGGGGATCTACACCTTGGAGAAGGGATAATGTACTCCATTTTCTTATTTCTCTTCTTCAATTAGGCCTATATTTTTATTTCACCATTCTAAATTTATGCCATGGCATCTGTACTGATTATAAGTTTAACTTGATAGGGGCACCTTGTTGATCTCGTTCAGACGGAGGTTAAGGCCTTGCTGCAATCAGCTCTTGATGTAGCGGTCTCCGTTGTTTGTGCCAATCACACTGTTCTGGAGGGTCTTGGGGCACATTTGGAAGGTAATTCATAAATTACTATATGATTAGTTACTTGCATCTTGGTGATACTTACATGGGGAAAGAAAAAAAAATACAAATATCAAGGACCTAACAAAATTATTATCTCAACAAGATCCAGGGTAAAAGACTGAACGCCCCCAACCTCTGAACGATGTTTTTGATAAATTATGAAAGTAGACCAAAATACATTGCTTGAAACTTGCATCTAACTAAGATCCAGAACACTGAAGATCTTGCTTTAACAGCATCTGTGCGAGGTGACCTTATTTTTCATACCAATTCTCATTCCTGTCTCCCTAAAGATAAATAAATAAATAAATACTACATAAACTCCTCTTCGTCATCATTAAAGCCATTCAAACAAGGACAATTTTTGTTTTAGTACTAACATTCACTAAGAACTACTATTTATGCAATATAATGCTCCTGTTTTGGGGGGACAACCAATCTCAGTTCAGTTCAGTTCAGGGAATGCTAGGCGTTTTGTAATTTCTCCTCCAACCAGGATAAAAGATCCATTATTCAGATAACTACAATTCTGATAACTATAATTGCAATGACTTCCCCTTTATATTGGTTTACAGTTTGTAGTGTCTAGAAGAAAGAGAGAGGATGGTGGGGCATATCAATTGTTGTAAAAGATTTGCATTTATTTTCTAATTTTTATGTCTCAGAACATTGTCCCCTGATGGAGTATTGGGGATTCAATTGGTATCTATTTTACTTCTGGGTTTTTAAATATGAAAAGAGATAATTTCAAATGATTATGATATTTTGCAACAATATATTGTAGAAAAAGAGAAAGTAGAAGGTGAAGAACTGCAAGAATGGTTGAAATTGGTGGTTGCTCCATCAGAGCTTACCTTCTTCATTAGAGGAAAGCAAGGTTCTCTTCTCCCATTACAAACAGGTTCCAGTTAACAAATAACGCGTGCTGTACGTGTTATCTTAACAAGATATTGGGTTGAACTATTCACTTTTGACACCCGTTTCACCAGTGGCATCACAAGAAAGCCATTTCTTTTCTTGCTGAAGTACTAGACTCGACATGCATCATGTTATACTGAATGGTGGGGGGTCTTGCTTTTGGAACCTTGTACATATATTCAATATGTTGAAGCTGTATCAAAAATATCACATTATAGGGTGCTGCAAATGGAAGATTTTAAGAGGGAAAAATGTGTGTCAATGTCGTAGGGTCGAAATGAAAAGCGTATTATCATAGTTTCTAAGGGAAATTGTCTCATGTCGGCAATTACTGTTCTGCCATTTTCTAACTTTATATTCAATATTTCCCATGTTGTCATTTACACATTGTCAACATAACAATATGCAATATTTACGCGTAAGGTAGTGTAGAAGTGTTGTAAATAGTTGCGGCTTAAGAATCCTTTGTGGTTTCGAAGAAACCCTATTACAACTTGAATATACTTGTACCAGGGGAGGATTTTCTTATTTTACTCTTAACGATTTTCAAGCCATGTGATGACTGTCTTTTCAAAGTCGCCAAATAAACTGAGAACGTCGAAGAATTTATCCAACATTCTTGAGAACACAAATAGATGTACAAGCATCATGCAACTGTCCAAAAATGAGGGGAATGAACTATTTGAGTACATCTACTGATGCTTGTATGCCTTGTTATTACATGCACCACTCATTTCTGGTTTATTTATAAATAGGCGTGTTTGAGCCACTGTTTATAAATTCTTCCCAGATGTAGACTTAACTTTTTAGTCGAATGCTGTAACATTAAATGTGACTGGCAGATTTTATGGTATAGAGCCAAGAAGATTTGGCAGTGTGTCACTGATATTTTAAAAGAGCTAAAATATCAGATGTAGCTTTCTCAAGTGACAGACTCTAGTTTGTCCCAAGTGAATAGGCCAGTCAGGACCATAGCGTGTTCTTGTTTCTAGCTTGACCAACTTGGTCGGATTAATAAATAAATACATTTATTTTTCAGAAATTTAAAAAGTAAAAGAAATTTCTTTATTCTGAATCAGATAAATAATTATCATTTAAACAAGAAATTTAGCTCTCTATACTTTTGATAAGATGGATTATTTCACTAATGGTTACTGAATTTTGTACTCAGTGTCATCTTGGTCACTGAACTTTAATTTATTTAAGACTCCTCACTAATAGTTATGTCAAATTTCTCCACCCTGGATCTGCCTTGCATTGTTACGATCATAATGGGGGTAGGAAAGCTCCGTTCAGAAATAGTAAACAAGGTGGAACATGGTCCCTACAAGAATTTTTCGAATTCGCTTTGAATTGTTTTAGTTTATTTTTATGTTTTTAAAATTAAATATGATGCTTTTAATTTAACATTCTACGTGTTTATATTTTAATCAATAAAATTTGTTGACCTCAGAAAATGAACTCAACAGATGTCGGGCACACTCATGCCTACGTAAGCCATATCTAGCATGCTAAGGCAAATTTACGGTCGAGCTTACTCCAAAGATTGGATGTGGGAGAAGCTCAACGACACGAGACGTTTCCGTTCGTACTCCGACATGATTTGTGGAACAAGATTGAATAATGATCAATCTATGAAAGCAATATTTGTAGTTGTAAATAACTTATAAGAGAGTAAGATAGATTGCTTTGAGTATTTAAAATTTCATTAGTCCTCAATTGTTATATGGTGGGGTATATATAGCGTTACAACTGGAATAATGACCATTGCATCAATTTACACGTGACCTTATCTCCTCGACCAAAACATCAAGTCCTAACAATCAAGTTGAATCAAGTTGACCTTCCTAACTTTTCAAAGCATTTACATTGACAAGACATGACACAACACTTTTCACAAAGATCACATCAATCATTTAAATAAAGATCTTTATCATGAGTAGATCCCTGCACGTGAGCCATCACGAGCTGGGAGCCTGCAACTGGATCCAAGAGGTGCCTTAGAAGTGATTGGGCCTCTGTTGACGACATGGCCTCGGTCTATATAAGAACAGGGCCACAGATCGAATCCCACAGCTTAGTTTTGATGGCCACGTGGCAGTCTCTAGTGACGAGGTGTAACAATAATCTCCCAAGTCCATGTGTGAATATTCATGTCATGCGTAGACTAGAGTAATGAAGTTAAAAAAGTTTAAAATTTGTAGTTCATCATACTAGTCCACCTTCAGTTCTAGGTAGGAGGCTCAGCGGGCTCCACAATTTTGTCCACTTCGGGGACATTAGCAAACTCTGCCACAAAATCTGCTAGGGCCTGGCCTTTGAACGCATTTCTAGCCTTGAAGAGGATTTCAAATTCGCTCAACTCCACTGCCCATTTCAATGACCTACTCGAAGCATCAGGTTTTTGCNTCCACTGCCCATTTCAATGACCTACTCGAAGCATCAGGTTTTTGCAATACTTGCCTGAGAGGGAAGTTGGTCAACACATGAACTGTGTGAGCTTGAAAGTAGGGCTCAACTTGCGGGATGCAGTTATCAACGCCAAGGCTAACTTCTCCATATCCGGGTAACGTGTCTCAGGGAATAGCAATGTCTTACTTATGTAATACACTGGTAGCTGGTTTGAGCCCTCTTCTCTTGTAAGCACGACATTTATAGCATCATGGGAGACAGCCAAGTAAAGTTGTAGGACCTCACCAAGCTTGAGTTTCGATAGGAGGGGGGGCCTGCCCCAGGTGCCTTTTCAGTTCCGGAAGGCCTCTTCATACTTCTCAGTCCATTGGAACTTCTTGCCTAACACTTTAAAAAATGGGAGCTACTTGTCTGTACCCTTTGATATGAAGTGACTTAAAGCAGCTACCCGACCGGTCAAACTTTGTACTTCCTTCGATTTCTGGGGGGACCTCATCTCAACCACTGCTTATATTTTCTCGGGATTTGCTTCTATACCCCTTGGTTGACCATGTACCCTAAAAACTTGCCCGATGCAACTCCAAATGCACATTTCAGGGGATTCAACTTCATACGGTACTTTCATAAAATTTGAAAAGCTTTGTTGAAGGGAGTTATGTGCTCACAAACTTTCAAACTTTTGATAAGCATGTCGTCTACGTAGACTTCCATGTTATTGCCAAGTAGGTCAGCAAACATCTTGTTTACGAGCCTCTGATAAGTTGCTCTAGCGTTTTTTTATCCCGAAGGGCATCATCTTGTAGCAATATAGCGCCCGATCGGTGACAAATGAAGTGTGCTCCTCATCATCTGGGTACATAGGAATTTGATTGTAGCCTGGAGTACGCATCCATGAAGCTTAAAGACTCATACCCCGCGGTAGAGTCCACCAATTGATCAATTTTCGGGAATGGGAAACTGTCCTTAGGACACGCCTTATTAAGGTCATAGAAGTCAATGGATACTCTCAATTTCCCGTTTGTGTTTCTTAACTAGGACCGGGTTGGAGACCCACTATGGGTAGAGGGCCTCCCTGATAAAGTCATTATTGATTAGTTTCCGTACCTCTTCCTTTAGAACTTCATATAGTTCCGGGTTTAAAGCTCGTCTCTTTTGTCTATGCGGGGCAGCCTTAGGATTAATTTTCAGATGGTGGCAGCTAAACCCGGGGTCGATGCTCACCATATCCTCATGCCTCCAAGCAAAGATGTCACGGTTCTCACATAAGAATTCCTCGAGCTTCTTTTTAAATTCCGGAGCCAGGTCTCGGCTTACTTGCAACAACTTGGTGGGATCTGTTGGGTCAACCGGGAAATTTTTCAATTTCTCCATTGGGGCTGTCTGGGAATCAGTTTCCATGACACGTGGGTCGAGTTCATCTAATGTCGGCATTCCCGGGTTCGTGACACTAATCACCATGTCCATGTCCCTAGGCTCGACCTTCCTTACGGAGTTCATGTAGCATTCCCGGGCACCTCTTTGGTCTCCTTGCACCGTTTCCACATCCTGATCGGTTAGAAATTTCATGCATAGGTGGTGGATGGATGTGATGGCTCCAATATCTTTTAATGCTTGTCTCCCCAACACCTCGTGATAGGCGGACCTACTATCAACGATCAAGAATTTCATAAAGTTCAACGTTGACAAGGGTGACTCTCCCATCTCCACGGCAAGTGTGATTTGCCCCTCGAGATTATGCTAACCCCCGTAAAACCATATAGAGGGGGTGTTGATGGGGGTCAGCTCGTGGTCTAAGATCATTTTATCAAAGTCAGATTCAAAAAGAATATTAACTGAGCTGCCATTGTCTACCAACATCCGTTTTAGTCCGTTCCCAGCCACCACGACCCTTACAACTAGGGCGTCACAATGGGGATAGTGGACACCTTCTGAATCTTCACGAGTAAACACGATGGGTGGCGTCTGACGCGAGAATTATTATCCATGATATAGTTGGTTAATGGAGGGCCCTGTGCTTCCCGGGCGTAATTCCTTTAGGAGTTTCTTGTTTCTCCATCGACATAAAGGCTTCCAAAAATGGTATCGATCTCATGGATGGGGACATTTTCCACTTGATTTCGGTGGCCTCTCTGTTGTTGCTGTCTATCCCGATTTCTGTCTTCTTCATGCTCTCTCCTCCGTCGGGGAGATACTTCCCGATGGCGGGAAGCGGCCTCATCTCGCCTCGGCTGCGGATCATGTCTCGACGAGGGCCTATCTCTCGGTCTAGAATTGTCTCGATTCTCATTTCTGGAGTTTGATCATCTGAGATGTTTGGCAATATCCTTGCAGTCAGCAGTGTTGTGGCTGTAAGAACGATGATAAATACAATATTCTTGGGGGTTCTGACAGGGTATTCTCGGATAATTAT